CCGGGGCCCGGGAACCTTCCACGGATGGTGCGGGAGCCCCGTCTCGGGCCCCGGAGCCGTCCTTGGAAGAAGACCTCTCGGGCCGCGCATCGGAAACATGACGTCGTCGGGTGTCTGGGGACAGCCGGCGGCTCGACAGCGTCGGTACGGACAACGGTTCACTGGCCGTGGCTCTGGAGACCGTCCTCTTGGGCCCCGCGGTCGTCGAAGAGCGGCCCAAGTGAAAGACTCGCCTGGGGGGAGTGGTCGAAAGGCCTGGGGGCCCACGCCTCGCAAAAATCGAGACGCTGGATGACAGGGTCTCCTCTAGTAGTGGCCTGAACGCTCCACCAGCCCCCAAGACCTCCTCGCGCCCTGAAGCAACCACGACGTGAAATTGGGTGGACCAATTTTCGGCCTCTGGGGGCCCTCGTCAGGCCCGCGGCCGTGAAAAAAAAAGCTCGGGGAATCCGCGAGGCCCTTCCCCGTCACCATTCCAAGCCTTCCTGGCTTCAACGTCGGAGTTGCGTGGAAAGGTATCGATTCGACGGGCGGTTGGAAAAGGCAGATACTCCCACTCCAGTCCTCGTCCTTCGGCGAACGTCGGCTTGAAGTCCTGTTGCGCCGTCGTGACCTGAACTCTCTTCCCCTCTTCGGGCTTTTCAACCGTGGGCTGCCGTAGCAGCTACCCAACTTGAGCAGTTCTTCGGCTGACCCTTGGGGGCTGGGGCCGTGCCGCGCCGAGTCAACTGCAGACGGGACAATTCAAGCGCCAGCCCACCACCTCTCCGCAGCCTCCCTCACTCCTCACCTCCCTCTCATCCGCGACTGCCCACCGCTCACCCTGCACCCTGGTGGTGTTTTCGTACCCTGGTTGTTCTGGCTTTCAGTATTTCCACGGTCACGCCATCCATGGACTCCAGAAGCGGGAGGTCCACAACCAGGGCGAGGCCTCCATCGCTGACCCTCTGGAGTCGATGCGTCGGAGGGGCGTCCATGGGACCAGCAGTGGCCAGGGGACTGGAGCCACAGTGGCAACGATCGCATCCCCCTGCTTTTGTATCGGTTCTGCCGCCTACTCCTCCTCCTCCTCCTCCTCCTCCTCCTCCTCCTCCTCCTCCTGCTACTGCTCCTCCTCTTCCTCTTCCTCCTCCTCTTCCACCTTTTTTTGTCTCTTCCTCTTCCTCCTCCTCCAACCCTCCCTGTCGCACCCCGAGGCCAGTCGGAAGGGCGGGCTGGGCGCCTGGCCTGCGACCTTCTCACCGATTAGGATCCTTAAGCTTACAAAATGCAGCAGTTTCACGGATGGAGGGAGGGTGGTTTTCAAAATGTAGCTCTCGCCTTGGCGCCGCGCACACCCATGCTAAGAATGCGCAACAAGCTCACGGATTGATGGCGGGTCGCTTTCAAAAGGTGGCTCTCGCCTTAGCATCGCGCACACTCGTCGTAAAAAGGTGCAAGAGCTTCACGGATTGAGGACGAGTCGTGTTCAACATATGGTTCTCGCCATAGCGCCGCGCACATCCGCAGTAAACATGTGCAACCAATTCGCGGATTGAGGGCGGGTGGTTTTCAAAAAGTGGTTTTCGACTTAGCGCCAGGCACATGTGTCATCAACACTTGCAACAACTTCACGGATGGAGGTCGGTTCTTTGTCAAGGTGTGGCGGTGGTGGTGGCGGTCAGAAATGTGGTGGTGGGGGTGGTGGCGGCGGTGGTGTGTCTGTGTGTGAGGGGATGTATGAGCTGTTGTTTCTCTTTCTCCCCTCACACCACCACCGCCATCACCACCATCCTCCCCCCTTCTCATCCGTTAGTCAGACAACTAGTTGCCAATGCGGCGTTCACACGTAGGTTTGGCAATTAAAGCATCTCGCCCATCCTCCTCCTCCTTCTCCTCCTCCTCCTCCTCGTCCTCCTCCTCCTCATCCTCCTCCTTCTCCTCCTCATCATCATCATCAGTTTCCTCCTGCTCCTCCTCATGAGCATCATCCTCCTCCTCCTCCTCCTCCCTCTCTTCCTCCACTTCCTCCTCCTCCAGATCCTCCTCTTCCTCATCATCATTGTCCGCCTCCTCCTCCTCCTCCTCCTCCTCCTCCTCCTCCTCTCCTCCTCCTCCTCCTCCTTCCTCCTCCTCCTCCTCCTCCTCGCTCCTCCTCCTCCTCTTCCACCTCCTCCGCCTCCTCCTCCTCGTCCTCCTCCTCGAATTCCTCCTCCTCCTCGTATTCCTCCTCCGCCTCCTCCTCCTCCTCCATCTCCACCTCCTCCTCCTCATCCTCCTCCAGTGAGAATAATGATAGTACAGGCCCCTGTAAGTAGGAAGGATTTCAGACATCTCTATAGGCCCCTGACGTCGCCATCGCTGGATATGGGCGTTAGGCCCAGCTGCTGTTTTTTATAGCCACATATCGTAAACATGTTGTGGCTCAAGGCGTGTAAAATCACGCTTTGGTAGCGGAGCTCCAAGCTCCGCGGGCCAATCCTCCCGTCGGCCAGCAGCCCACGGCGCAGCCATCGGCGCGCGCGCCTCCAGCAGGAGGCCACTCCGACTTCATCAAGTACGACGGCGCTCCGGTCAAGCACCACAGGAGCGCGAGGTACCACAAGCTCACGAAGTACCACTTCGTATACAGATCCCATGCATGTGACAAGTACTGCGAGCACGTAACGTACTACAACAACATCGAGACTGGGACACTGGCGAATACGCCTGATCTACGGCACTGGTGTTTACTTATTTCTTTGTTTCAGAGCCGACATGGCGCACCAGCAGCACGGCGGTGAAAGGCAACAGGGTACGCTCAGCTCGAGGAGTTCACGAAGTTCGTCCCACCGGGCTGGCGGCCCCACATCAAAGGTTACACGTTCAGACGGTATATGCAGAAGCTCAAGCTGTGGTGGAGGATCACGGAAGAACATCAGTACGAGCGGATTGGACCGCTCATCGTATCACGTTTGCAAGGAGCTCCCTTCACTGCAGCGATGTCGTTCACACATGTTCGAAATGGCATCCAATATCGAGGAGACGAAGAAATAGCGCTGCCAGCTCAGGCAGCCAAACCACCAGAACAGCACGAAGATCAACCCGCAATCAAGCACTTTCTGAATCAGCAGAAGGCGATATATGAAGTACATGATCAAGACAGGGTTGGAATAGTTCAAGATTCGTTCTTTGAATGCAGACGTGGACATCATCAGGACCTGCCGACATGGATTTCATCATTCGAGCTGGAGTTCGAAGATGCATTCGAGAAAGGCGGTTTAGTCATGAACGACACGGGCCGCAGTCATTTCTTGTCGAAGAGCAGCGGATTATTTGACAAGCGATTGGATGGCTTGAAGTTGCATGTGGCAGGCGATCTCTCACAGTATCGAGTATTGCAGGGTCTCATGATGCGTCTCGGGAAGCAGGACCAAGTTGGACAGCACAACGTTTGGCCCTGGTACGGTGAACACGGAGACGACGCAGGCCCAGATGGTATGACGGACATCTGGTACGAGGCCTACGATAATGAACAATACGAATGGGGTTCTGACCAGGAATACGGACGGATGGCAACACAGGATTGTGAATGGTACTTTCAAGAACATGATGACATCTGGGCTAGATGAGAAGACAACGGCGACATGACAGAGTACTACGAGGCAGATCAGGACGACACCGACACCTACTACGGCGGAGAAGGACGAGGCAAAGGAAAGCGTGGTGCGAGCAAAGCAAATGTCGAGGACGAGGCAGATTCAAACGACGTTCCCCGACGAAAGGCAAAGGACGTGGCAAAGGTAAAGGCAATAGTGGCGGCGGCAACGATCGCACGGGCGGCTCAGGTCAGCGACATGATGGATATGACATTTGTGGAAGCAAATGGCATGATCGAGCGCATTGCCCGGCAAAGGATCGTCAGCAGCAGCCGCAACAACAACAACAACCGCAGCAACAGTCTTCGACTCCAGCGAAAGGCAAGAGCAAGGGTGGACGCAGCGGGCACTATGCCAACGTCGTCGGCCTCTCCACAACAGACGCAGCGGCGTTATCATCGTCAGTATGTCAGTAGGAACAAATGCAGCAGCAGCAGCCCCACAAATTGTGATCAGACCTCCAGGTTCATGGATCACGGTGCAGACTCCAATCAGCTCATCGGCCAGCACGTTTCCTGTCGAACAATATCATACCCGACGATGGCATTTCCGAGGACAGGTCGGAGTATGCTAGAGAGCAAGAGGCAGCACCGTGAACGACACTGGGGCCGGCAAGAGAAATAATTCATCGACCGAATTCATGCTCTGGCGCGCGGCCCCACGGCCACGGCGAAGCCTTGCAGCAGCAACAGGGCGGGAGGGTGGGAGCTCGAGAGCCAAAGGCTATTGTAGAGAACAACGCATTCTGCATTCGGCCTCACACTCCCCGTAAAAGACCATGCCCGACGATGGTATTTCCGTGGCCAGGTCGGAGTATGTTAGACAGCAAGAGGCAGCACCGTGAACGACACTGGGGCCGGCAAGAGAAATAATTCATCGACCGAATTAATGCTCTGGCGCGCGGACCCGCGGCCAAAACATCCCGAACCATCCGGAGGGCTACTCCTCTGTTGTTAGCAGCCTAACCAGATCGGTGTGACGGACAGAGCTTCTGATTGCATTCTAGCACTGATGAGAGCGCGTGCCCACCGTTTTGCGAGCGTCTTAGGATAGGCCTGCGCTAAAGTCCACAGAGGCCTTCCTGGAGCTTTTCCCCTTAGAGTCTGATGAGGCATGCCAGTCCTGCTACAACATGTACGAGAGCCAGCGCACAACCGAGCGAAAGCAGAGACATCCACACGATAGCCTACAAGACTGGTCGGCTTCTTCCACGATGTCCCATCCTGACAAAAATGCGTGACTGCCCAGAAAAAATGCGGTTCCTTGCGACAGCGCTGCAGAGACGGAATGAGCCACAACCTAGACATCGCGGGATTCTCGACTGCAAATGGGATCTGTATACATTTACAACTGGCCCAGACATTTTCACAGCATCTCACAAGCTTGTTGGCGGCCATGATCTGAGCCCGGTCCGCCGGGTGCGTCACCGCAGCGAGTCCCCAGAGCTCCGAGTCGGAGCGAGGCCGGCTCGGCCAGGACGGAGGCCCACCTGGCACGCGCAGCGGTCTGGTGTCCCGGACTCTGGACCACGTCTCGCAGGGCACGCCGAAGTGCATGCACCAGATCAGGCCAGCGTTCAGCCAGCCCCGCAGCACTCGGGAGACCTTCGGGTCGGTGAGGTCCCAGTCGGCCCCCCAGGCGATGTCCCGATCGATGACCAGGGGGCCGTCGCTCCGCAAGGCTGCCGCCAGCACGCCTTCGCCGGAGGAGACCTCCACGAAGACCGGAGGCGCAAACGCCTACGTCGGGGGCCCAGCATCCTCCTCAGCGCCAGCCGAGGAGAGAGGCCAGCCGTGCCGGGGCCAGCAGGGCCGCGCGCTGCACCTCGGGCGCCAGCCTCTGTAGGTGCTCGTTGACGCGGCCTGGCTCGAGGTAGCGCGCGACCGACGCGTCGGTACGCCAGCGGCCGCGGAGCTCGACGTTGGCCAGGGTCCGCAACTGCAGGGCCAGCTCCACCGACGGGCCCGAGTGCCGCAGCTGGCACAGCTGCGGGGTGAGCGACGCCAGCCCCATGTCATCCGCCGCCTCCTTGAACAGGAAGCTGACGCGAACGAGGGTGAACGGGAACAGCGGCTCGCCCAGGTGGGTCGACGCCTTGAGCCAACGGAGGGCGCCGGGCAGGAAGCTGTAGAACGGCAGGTCGAAGGGGGTCACCTCGTCGTAGACCTGCGTCTTGCTGGGCACCGCCAGCTCGCGAGGGTGGAGCACTAGTGACCAGCCGTCGCACACACACCCCAGCGTCGGGGGTATCAGGTGGGCCCCCAGAGCCCGCAGCGCCTCCGACGGCCGCAGGTAGCCCGCGAAGGTCACCAGCACGTAGAGAGCGACCCGCAGCAGGTCCCGATCGATCAGGCGCGTCGCGATGAGCGCCACGATCTCCCAAGGCAGCGGGAGCCTAGCGCGAGCCGGCACCCGCTTCCGCCAGCCCCGCAAGGCCTGCAGCGCCTTCGGCAGCCCCTGGCCCCCGCGCCCGAACTGCGGCATCATGAACTTCAGCGCCGCCTGCATGTAGGCCCCGTGCTCGGGGTTCCAGCCCTCGGCGTACTGCTTGTCTATCCAGTGCGCCAGCAGGTCGTCCGCCGTCTCGGTGCGGAGCGCCACGGTCACCCTCGTGGTCGCCGAGATCGAGAGGGCCCTCAGGACATGGCCCGCCGAGGCGCGAAGGGCGGCTGCCCCGGGAGCCCGCGCCGCGGCTCTCCCCGCACGCTTGGCTGCCGCCTCCGCCGCCTTCGACAGCCCGGCGCTGGCCTCGCTTCGAAGCCGTCGCCCGGCTGGAGCGCCCCGCTGCTGCCTGGCTGGGGGCCGCCCCCGCGGGAGGCGTCGGCGAATGCGCCTGCCTGTCTGGCCCCCCGCGCGGCGGCCAGACTGGCTATAGCATCCCAGCGCAGCCGCGCGCCGATCCTCAGCGCCCGGCGGGAGGGCAGGTCCGCCGGGTTCGCCTCCGACGGGATCCACCGCAGCGCCGCGGCGACGCCTCCCGCCTCCACGAGGGCGCCCCGCTGACGGCAGATGCGGGCCATCCTCGGCCGCGAGGAGCAGCCCTTGCATCCCGGAGGACGTGCTTCAAGGCGTGGATTATCAGGGGGACGTAAGACCTGGGCACAGTGGACTCGGAAATCCCCGACGAGGTCGTCAAAAAAATGACGAGGCCGAGCCTGCATTTTGACGAGGCCCCCCGCTGCAGACATCCCACGAAACTCCTCCTCGTCAAAATCCGAGGCGCGATCGTCAAAAAACGATGGCGAACCCGGGTCCTGGCAAACCCGGGTCTTACGCTCCCCCGAGATTAGGGCCCTCCCTTCCAAGGCTGCGACGTGCTTCTCCCCCTCCCAGGCCCCGCTCGAGATGACGACCCGGTCCCCTGAGATGCGATGAACTTCCAGAGGCTCGAAGTCGGTCTCCTGGGGCTCCGCGCGAGGGCTGCCATTGTCCATGGGGGCGACGGGCTCCTGGATGTCCGACGGCACATTGCAGAGGTGACCTTTCGAGGACGGCTCGGAGTAGATGTAGGCCTCCAGGGGCTCGAGGGGCTCGATGAGCTGCCCCCAGGGCGCCCTCGCACTGGGGTCTCGGAAGCGCCAGCGTTCTTGGATCCCACCCATCCTCTCCACCACGCCCTTGCTCACTTCTCGCTAACACACCCCTCGGCCCCACTCGGAGGCATCCGCGCACAGAACTCGGCCCAGCCAGCGGGCCCGCAGGTCGGCGTGAGCCAGCGGGACAACTCCCATGGCCCACATCAGCTCCTGGCGCACGCTGGGCCACCAAGGCCTAGGCGCCTCACCGGCCTTTGCGATGAAGCGATACACGGCCGAGTAAGCCGCCAGCAGCGGGCGCTTCACCATGAAGAGGAAGGTGTAGTTGCCCACGACCTGGCGCACCTGCTGGGCCGAGACCTTCGGCATGGCGAGGAGCGCACGCGACTGCTCCCCGCGCGCCATCGATGACCCGGCCGAGCACCTGCGCGTGGAGCGAGGCGGCCTCCTCCTCATGCACCAGGAAGCCCTCGCTGCGCAGCTCGGCGAGCATGTCATCCTTCAGGCGGTCGGCGGTGTCCCCGTCGAGGGCGAGGGACGCGAAGTTGTCGACGTACACGAGGTGCGCGCCGGAGCCCAGGCTTGGGCCGGCAGGCCGGTCCGCGATCCTGGACAGTACGAGCAGCCCCGCGCGGTCGGCGGCCGCCTCCGACACAAGCGCGAAGCACGGCCTCCAAGCCTCCGACAACTGCACGTTGTAAAAAGCATCCGCGATGTCCGCCGAGGCGGTCCACGGGTTGGCGCCGTCCGGCAGCTCGATCGCCGCCAGCGCCGCGCCTGTGGCCAGGTGGACGCCCTCGGGGTCGCCGAACCAGAAATTGGCGGGGCGGGCGTCGACGACCAGCCGCTGCCGCCCGCTCTTCTTGGCCACGCTGAACAAGCCGACCTCGTCGACCACCAGGGCGGCGTCGCTGACGAGGTCGACCACCCCAGCATCATGGAGACGCATCACCAGCGCTGCATAGCGGCGAGGGTCTCTAAGGCTGGGGTCCGAGTAGGGCTTCTTGAAGCCAACGCGCTGCTTCCGCTGCAAAAACTCAAGTATTTGGAAAGACCTTGCCGAGATATCACGATAGACGGAGTCAAAAAAACCTCGGCGCCCAGAAGCCGCTCCAGCGCCACGGGGCGGTTACCTGGAGGAGGCAGCGAGAGCCGGGAGACGTCCATCGCCTCCGCCCTCGTCGACAGAGAGCCGTCGTAGGACAGAGCAGCCTGGAGCTCCTGCAGGGCTGCCAAAGGCTGTAGGTCGCCCGGTGGGGGAGCCAGCTGGGAGACGGAGTCCGCGATCCGCATCAGGCACTGCTGCTGCGCGAGCGTCGCGCCAGCCCGCGGCAGCGAGCCACCCTGCACCCCAGCACCGCTGAGGCCGTTGAGCGCCTCGACCGCCTGCCGCGTGAGACAGGGCGCGGACGCCGCGCGCCGCGCGCGCCTCCGCACGGCTCGGGAGCAGGCGCCCGCAGCCAGCCCGCCGGGGCCGGCGGCGCCGGGCACTGGCAGCGGAAAGAGGTCTCGCTGCCGCTCCGCGCCTGGGCCGTCGAGCATGCTATGTACACCCTCGGCGTCACAGGTAGTCGCCGAGATGGGCCCCGATGCCGCAGCGCCCGGGGGGGCTGGGCCACCAGGCCCCCCCCGGGCATGAAAGAGTCACACCTTGGCTCCACTAATCCGGCCCAGCGGCGGCCTTCGCCTCCTCCCGCAGCTTGCGGGCGTTCTTCTTGATATGGCTGATGCGCTCGAGCTCCTTGCCGACCACGTCCAGCAAAGCGGGACACGCCATGCTGCTCGGGCGGCTGGACGGGCCCGTGCCGCCCATGAAGGCGGAGACCTCCGCCGGCAGCTTCATCTGCCCGGCGTCCTGCTCCCGCTGCTTCTCGCCCCAGAAATGCTCGATCAGCTGCATCTTCCTCAGCAGCCGCTCGACGCCGAGGAGGTTCGCCACATTGACCTCGTCGTGCGTGGCGAGGTCCTCCAGCACGGTGCAGAGCGCGTGGTGCTCCGAGACGCCCCAGTCCGAGGAGCCGAGCTTCTTGCGGGCCGCCCAGCTCTCGCGCTGCTGGATAGGCCCGCCCTCGCGCTGCCGCCACGCCACGCACCAGCCAGCGGACCAGCGCTGCAGCGTGAAGCTGGGGTCCGCCACCTCCACCGCCGACCCGGCCACCGCGAGCGCGCCATGCGAACGCCCGGCGTGCGCGCCAGGATCCTCGCGTCGGCCCCCCTCCACTTGGCGATGAAGTCGCCGCGCCGCCAGTCCTCGAGGAGCGCCATGGCGGAGGCGCCACCGACGAGGGTGATCGTCGCCCTTCGGCCGGCACGCGCCGCCAAGATCGCGCCGCCGATCGGGCCGACCTGGACGACCGAGCCGTATAAGGCCGTCCGCGCCCTCGGCGAGCACCCACGACCAGCCCGCCGGCGCCTCGCCGTTCACCCCGAGAGGGGCGCCGCCGTCATCCTTCCAGGACGGTCCGGGAGGAGCGCCGACGGCTGGAGGCGCGCCCGGCGCAATGGGGACGCCGGCCGCGGGGCCGGGCGCCACCACGGGGAGCGGTCCGTCAGGAGCCGGCGGCCCGACAGAAGCCGCCGCGGCGGCGGCAAGCCCGGCCGTGGGCGAGCCGGGGACAGCCCCCCCAGGCGGCGGCACAGGCCCCACGATGGCGGCCGGTGCGGCCGCGGGCGCCACGTACCCCGGCAGCAGGCCGCCCGACACGGGCACCAGGGTGCCCCCTGGCAGCACGGGCACCCCAGGATGGAGCCGAAGTCCGCGTCGGCCTCCAGGATGGCGGCCGCCAGCCAGGCCTCCTCGCGCGCTACCGAGGGGGCATTACGGAACCTGTAGGTGGAGCCGGGGTCGATCCCCGGCGGCGGCGGCCACCTCGAGGCCAAGAACCGCACCGCCGAGATGTCGGGCCAGCCGTCAGCAAGGTCTCGGCGTAGACCATGTCGTCTGGGATGACGATGACGACGTCACTAGCAAGAGCCAGCTGGCCCGCCACCCTCCTCTGGTGGAACAGCGGCGCCCCGCCCACGTTATACAGGACCCACGCCCACGCCTCCGCCATTGGGCCCCGCGGCGAGAGCAGCGAGCGGTGTCGCCAGCGGCGGCTGCGTCCCGATCGAGCTAGCGACCGTCGCGGAACGGCCCCGGTCCTCTCCAGCACGCCAGCGCGGCCCCCACAGCCAGAGCGCCGCGAAGGTGCCGAGGGCCCCGAGCGGAGCGCCTGCGAGCGCGGCCGCCCCGCAGGCGAGGGCGACGGCGCCCGTGGTCGCGCCCGCCGATGCTCCAGGGCACGGCGGGCAGGAAGAGCAGCTGCACCCCGGGCACGCCGGGCACGGCGGGATCTCCACCGCCGGGCAGCGCGCGACCCAGGCCTGGAGAGCGGGGACGCCCCAGTGGTCGATGAGCCCTGCCAAGCCCGCGGGAAGCCCCAGGAAGGCCCCGGCCATGCGCCGCGGCCCCGCCGCGGCCCCAAGCTCGAGAGTCGAAGGCTATTGTAGAGAACAACGCATTCTGCATTCGGCCTCACACCCCCCCTCTAAAGGCATTCAACTTCAATAAACAGACCATCTCCCAGATCGAGATGTGCTGCCTGCAAGTATCCAAGAACCTGTACCTGATGGCGATACTTTCGGGCTGAATGGAAGTGCAACTGCAGATACCCATGATTTGTACACTCAACCAGAGGATGATCCGCCAAGCTCAGGCAGACAAGATCGACCGGTACGGCCTCCCATTCTTGGCTCAGTATCACCTTTTCCTGATGACCGAGTCAATCGACCACCCTTGAGATCAATTCTGCGGAGCACAACGGCATCATCAAGTGCATCGACTACGCTGACACTAACTCACAAGTTGTCAAAGCAGTACGCTCTAGTGGTCATAAAGAACCAGTTGAACATCGCAGATGGCACCGAGAAGAACGACCAGCTAAGCATCGCAGATGACAATGACATGAAGAACGAAGCGGCTCAGCCATCTCAAGCATCTGGCTGTGAGCAGGTATCGTCTATGAAACCAGCCAAGTCACTTCACTTGCTTGGTTGTCAGCAGATCACCATGTCAGACGATCAGCAGTACAGCTCATTCCTTGAAGGCAGGAGTGGCATCGACGACCCCTACGCGATCCTACATACCGTAAAAGACCAGCGTCGGCACGGACTGATCGTTGACCCTGGAACGGCAGAAAGCCTACTCGGCACGGAAACGCTATTGGAAAGGAACACGACTTGTATCGGCCTGAAAGTATTCCGTCTGATCTCCGAGCCTCTGATGCGACATTCACAGGTATCAATGGCCAAACAGATCCATCATATGGCGAGTTTCGAGGACCAGTTTGGGTTGAAGGTATGCAGCACGGCACCACCTACCAGGCAGACCTCATCGGCGGCTCTGGCGCTAGGTGCCCAGGCCTCCTGCCCAACAGCACGATGATCAAGCAGACATGCAACCTCTTCGAAAATATGTATCGCAACGGAGACGGCATCCTGGCCGTCGTTCTTGACGACAAAGTATCTACGATGGCACGCGTACTTCTGACAGACTCTGGGCACTATTTGTTGCCCATCGATGTGTTTCAGGCTCAGACTGAACAAACCGCCGACGAGATGATAAACCTGATCGAGGAACGGATTGCTAAATTGTTCAAGGCTTTCAATCATCGGCACAAACCTAAGATTCAGCTACATGCAGCCAGTCACGATCAAGGCCCCGAAGCGCAGCATCAGAGTGAGATCAGCAGCAGCAGACTGGCAACAGAAGCGACAACGCCATCGAGACAGACATATGGATCATATCAAAACACAGATGCTACGGAGTTCTACGACGTATGGAGACAGTTCGGCAGCAGCAGATACTCCCAGGACGAATAGCCAAGCAATTTCGAACATGCTGAATGTCACCGGATGGCTCGAGAATACGACTTCCATAGCGCATCAAGATTACCAGTGATGATTCGACCTGAACACACGCGAGCTTTCATTCAGCCTATGCGGTCAGTAGCCCACAAGACGATACTCATGGTGGAAGTTTTCCTCTGGTACCTCTGGAGTTCCGTGTGCAGCTTATCGAGGACACCTGACAGCATTACCTCCCATTGATTATCGTCACGGCTGGGATCTGCATCGATCAGATCATCAGCAGCTGCTACTGGAAATGCACGAAGCATGTGGTCCATTGTTCTCATTGATGCAGCTCTACTGTCGACCATGGTCTCAGTCGAACAACACGGCGGAGCCTGCTGAATTGGGAAACAGGCGAGACTACGAGCACCCGGTTTTGACATGGACAGCACCGACCTACGCAGCAGCACTGGAGAGAAGCGGCAGTCAAATTATCATGGAGACCCATCGCGCTCAGCAATATGGAAGCAGTCGGACCTGAGGCTGCTCCCAGACATACTGATGCGCGAGATGCACGACAACGTTGCCGACCAGTGCGCTCATGGAGCGTGGAGCAATGATTCGGAGGTACCGATTCGCAAGAGGGCCTTCTTGCGGAGTACGGTTCGTCTACGATGCACCTAACGTGCGTGCAAGTGTATGACACGGCATGCTGAACTGCAAGGCACAGATGATCAAGGACGAAAACGTACAGTCTTGGCAGCCGTATATCCTGTGGGACAGTGTCGATCATTGGTCAAGGACATGGCCAAGCACATGCACGCATGCAGATCACAGGCATTCTGGACATGCAAGCGCTGCCAACATGGTGAAGGCTCAGGTGTACCACACTCTCGGGAGGATGGTTGCAGATTCAAACCTGTCCCTCCATGAGCAGCAGCGGCAGCCGCAGCAGCACCAGATGATCAGGCAGCGGGTCCAGCAGTTCCAGAACCTCCAGCAGCAGCAGCCGCGGCAGCACCTGCCATCGCAGCACCACCTGTACCGGCTCCTCCAGCAGTTGAGCAAGCGGAACTACCACAGGCACCTGCACCAGCAGCAGAACCAGCACCACCATCGACTGCACCAGTAGCACCACGACCATCATCATCGGCATCACAAATCAAGATTATCAAGCCCTCGTTCGACCTGGGTAAGCTCGCGCAGAAGCTGACGCAGGCAACCTCAGACGAAGAACGTATCAAGTTGCCCATGGGTCTTCATTACAAGTTCTTTCATCCACCAGGCTTCGAGATTGAGGGGATGATTCGAGCTCTTGGACTGCCAGCTCCCATTCGGGAAATGCGCAAGGGCCTGGCTGAGCACTGCGAGACCTGCCTACAACTACAGCGAGCGATGAATGAGCCGAGTATCAAGATGACCATCGCTGCACGTTTCAACGAGCGCGTTCAGGCAGATCAATTTTACCTGTTCGAGAAGACTTGGTTGATGATGATCGACGGGTACATCCGACACCGCGTCGCATGCATGTTAGCAACAAAGCAAATCAAGGA